ATTTATTTTTTTTTTTGTAAATTGTTTTCATTATTCAACCAATACCATTCCAGCGATTAAACATTTAACGGACTTTATTCATTGTAAGAATTTGTCATTGTTGTATAAAAAAGTATTTTTCATAAGGAAATTAGTGCAAAAGCATCCAAGCATAGCATGTGCTTAACCATTTGGAATAAGTCGCAGTTGAACTTTTCAGATTAAAAAACGTTTGATATTCGTATGCATATTTTAGAAAGTATAAACGGAAACTGGTAGAATATATCAGAATATTTAAATAATTTTTACTCCTATGCATTTTATTTTACTCCTTTTCGTAATATAGAAAGAAAGAAGTCGTTGTGTCCTTTTAGTAGAGTTTCTGTTGCATTGAATTTATTTTTCCTTTAAGCAGCTGTAATATAAGTATTATTGCAGATATTATATTTTATGAAGTTTAAAGGTTCCTTGTGATACTGTTAAGCAATAACCCCGTTGAGTGTGCGAGTTCAATCCGAATCTTAGGCCGATATTGTAACTGAAAAGCCGAAGGTTAAGAATAACATAATGTGAAGATTTATTTTTTTAATTAAATTAATTAGTATCTTGTATTTGATCAAAATATAATTCTATAATAATAAAGTTGTCACTTTTCACCAGTTTTTATTTTGGTTCGTTTATTAATAACAACAACTCTGATAGATAATATTATTTATAACAAATAGTATGCGAATTAAATTGGAAAAATAACTATTTACTTGCATTGACATTCAGCCAAAGTACATGTAAACTATTTTCAGTATTTTTGTTACTAATTATTGTTGGTGTGACCTAGTCTCTCAATTGTATTATTCAAACCTTTATGATTGTGTTTCATATATGTAAAAGACCCACATTATTCATAATAGTTTTTGAAATTTTCTGTGATTTCTAAAATTAAGTAGGCAAACACTTAATCAAAAAGTAAGACAAACTATTACATAAAAATGCTAGAACTTTTATAAATACTGGACAAATTTTATATATAGCAACAAAGCTTTATTTATGTAAAAATTTAGAGCTTAAAAGCTTAGAAATAATGTTTACAATACTCGATATATTTATTTGAATTTAAAGCTAAGCATATAATTAAATCCAGCATAGATCAAATTAGGTATTGCATATAAAAAATGCATAAGTTTATAATTATTAACGGAAGCAGCTATTTCCCCATTATAATTCGCTATGATTTGCTTACTCTTTTTATCCTCTTCTTCGTTAAGTTCACAAATTGGACTCAAATTAAGTAGATGTTGTTTTATAGTTGATCTGATATAAGCTACTTTTTGCTGATAAGGAATTTCTTTACGTAACAATAAATATTCTTTCAAACAATTAATAGCAGTTGGTATATAGGTATCATCAGCAATTCTACCAATCATATGTAGTTGCAAAAACGTAAGAATTTCTTCAATGATTGGAAGTTCATCTGCATGTTTATCGTACAGAATATTGTTGGTATTTTGTTGAGGTTCTAATAAAGGGTAACTAGAAATGTCTTGTTTATCAATCAAGTGGTTCTCCTCTTGCATACCCTGATCAACCAAAAGTTTATTTGTATTTACCTTACACAGATCTTCATTGAGATGCATTTCATCAGGTCCGTTCGTATGATTAATTATATGGCAATCATTTTGCTTAAACTGATCATCTGTAACCGTAGCTTCTAAAACATCATTAGCATTGGCATTGGCCTTTTCTTTTTCATTAACAACAAAGCGTAATTTCTCCATTTCCTCGTTTAATGTTAAAATTGTAGTATTCCACTTAACTTTTTCTTTAAGTAAGAAATCAATTCTTTCGTTAGCTTTATTGAGTTGAGTTTTTGCTAAATGAAGTTCTTTTAAAAGATTCTTCACAGAGTCATTCTTGTTTGCTTTTGGTGCCATTTGTATTATTTTATATACTTATATGTATTTATAGTATATATATTTATATAAAAATATATATTATTCTTTGAGAGTTATTTGAAAACGTCTTCAAAAAGTCCAATGAATTTTTAAAGCTATATGTAAATGGATAATATGGGTAAAATATATGTTTTAAGTTTTGTTTTTTTTTTTTTTAATGAAATGTCATTGAAATACTGATTTCAATAATAAACAATAAAAAAAAAGTAAGTTGAAGCAATGAAAAATTAATTATATATCATTATCTAATTTTTTACTTTGACCCATTTATTTGTTCATTACTTCTTTGTAATTAGAATTAGAATCATATTAAGTGTATAAATATTGGATTTTATTTCAGCAGGGACTTCAAACTTTTCTCCTTTATGATTGCATGATTTGGAAAAATGACACACTTTGACACCAAATACTACAAATCCAATAGTTTACTAATAGTTTTGAACATCAACCAAGGAGTAAGTGCCGAATTTATTTGCTCAACAAAAGAATTGACAACAGTAGCCGGAATATAGAATTAGTTGTTCTATAATTAAGATTTTGACCAACCATTGGATAACCATTCATAAACGTTGCTTCTGGCGGGCTATTTCAAGTAATGGTGAAACTCTTTATTTCAAGCAAGAACCTTTTATCATTATAAGGAAACTGAGACTATTAGAAAGTGATCAAATAAACTAGTTTTGCTTGCTTTACCGTTTGCATAAGATAGAATATCATAAGACAACATGCGTTTAATGTCTCAAATAGAGAACGACTTATAATCACATTACATACTTATGCTTTGTTCTGATCCAGGAAGATAATATTGTAACACAAATTTGTAGGAACGTCTCTAATAAGGTGTTATCTAGAAAAAAGTTCTCCTATATATTTTTTCCAAAAGCAGAGAAATTTTTGTTCGCTTTAGTTCTGTTGCACTACAAAAAATCTATTAGGACGCATAGATCTCGCTCTGTGGGATCTTTAATATCCATTTTAATTCATTCTATTGCATTCTTATTGGGAATTGATGAGAAAGGGCTTTTTGTATTCGTATTTGAAGTTTTAATGTCAAGAAATTTTATGAATTACTTTTTTAATGATAGCAATTTTATGTACTTTGACAAAAAATCTATATCGAATAGAAAAGAATTGTGCTAGTGAAGAAATTTTCAAATCCAAAATGTATTTATCAATCAAGTAAGTTGTGGAAGTGACTATATACCTACAGTGCCTTGATTCTACAAAGTCTTAGCAAATGTGTAAAGAGATATATATTATTATAACTACCTTATTTTAAAAATTTGATTTGTACTAGAATTCTATACTAGAATTTTAATCAAATAAACCAAAAATTCATTGAAACCATTATGATATAATGTACTATAGTATTACTTTTAGTAAAATATATAAATATATATTAAAATATAAATAAAATTAATATGAAAGTGATGTAGTATGATATATCAAAAATTCATACAAAAAATGATGCAGTGACATATTTTTATATCATACTTTTCATAATATTGGATTTATTATCCAATCTTTTATTTAATGCAACATATATATGATGTATATTTTTATATCATACTTTTCATAATATTGTGTTTATTATCCAATCTTTTATTTAATGCAACTTATATATGATGTAGTCAATATCTAAGAAATGTTCAATATCACATGTATGTTATCAATTAGTTGCCTATTCAATATTAGTTTAAGCTGCATTGCAAGTTGTGAGCTAATATTAATCTTACTTATAACTTAAAAATTTATGCCCTTTAATTTAACAGTTTTAATTATAATATCTCTCTTATTTGACTTAAAAAATTTGATAACTAATTGAAGTCACATAGTTCCCACGAAATGATACAAATAATTTCTTTAACTAAATAAGTGAATTAAATTTTAATAAAATTCATTATGCGCTGACCTGTGAAATATTGGACTCATTAAGGTTATATTTACAATTTTTTTTGTTTTTATTGCAATTATTTTAATAGTGAAAAACTGTATTTTATCACTTTCATTGTAGTTAGTTCGTTTGCTTCCGGTTACTAATTTCCGCACTAATTAACTTGATACAATAAAAACATTGTAATAAAGTGAAAAATTTACTTTCAACAAGCTTTAATTAGACGAAAATTGTGATGACCACTTAGCAACGGCATATGACCTATAACTACAGCTGTGGCAGTGATTAGCACAGTTGTTGGGCAGGAGTATGCAGCACATTAAACATGACTCCCTTTGTTTTTACGTTAAATGAAGTAGTTTTCTGCAACAAGGAAAATGCATTTGCATAATGTTGTGATTAATAAATGCTTAAAATGGTTCCATAATTAAAAATTCTTCTAAAATTGTTGAAATCTCTTGTGACAAGGGTGTTAGTGGTAAGATGAAAAATTTACTAAAAATGTTACATATAAGCGTAATAATTGATACATAAATTTTGTGAAATCACATTTACGGGATATAATAATTTAATTTTTACAACAAAATGCAAAAGCTACATTCGGTTATAACAGAAATCCGAAGAATCCACTTAAGTCTATTGGCTCTTTCTTTTGAAGCAGGAATTAATATATTATTATTTTCTACAGATGTTATGGTTGATTGGAATGCCCTGCGCTAATGCACATATGGAATAGGCTTTTGGAAATATATATCCTTGCAATAAAGGCAATAAAACTTAGTAAAGTAGGTTCTATACTACTTTTTATTGACGCAACAGGGCTTAGAGACCTACTCTAAACTCAGAAGGAGGCACAGTAGACTCGACGGTCGCAGTGCCAGATCCCCTAATAATCATATTAATAATATGGTTGATTGACAACACAACTGGTACCTAATAGGAATAAATAGAATAACTGAGAAACTGTATTTAGTCGTAAAATCCTTTAATGAGATAAATAAAAAAAAATAATATGTTGATAGAAATATGTATAAGAGGAATTCTAAATCATTTTTTTTTGCTATAGTACAATGTAAAGATACATATATGCAGTTATTTCTTTAATAAAGAAATTGAATTCTTTAATAATTTCTTTAATAAATTCTTTAATAATGAAATGATTTTTAAAGGATTTTTGAATTTAAAATGTATATATTTTTGTTTGTTCTATTTGTAAATCTTAACCGATCTCTCTCCAAAATGTAAATTATAAATTGTTGATATAATTTTCCATTTCGTTCGTTAAATTTTTATATTTTGAAAAGTGTTTCTTATTCTGTTATTTACTAAAAATACCATAGGTTAAGAAATTTAGAACTTCAACAAACATTGTATAAACATTATATATAGCTTGGCCAGCACATGTAAAAATCCTTTGTAAAGTATTTTTATCAGGAACACTTTGCTCTATGGACTCTGTGTAGTGGACCTCGTTGTGCTTAACTGTCATATGATATTCTAACGCACGTTTAAGTCGTACAATTGCCATTGCATATGGAAGACGTCTACGTAAATTAAAATATTCCCGCAATTTGTTGGCAGCAAACTCACGGTAAGTATCGTCGAATCTCCTACCAATTGTTTGCAATTCAACGTAAGCTACGGCCTCTGAAAATGTTGGGGGTCTATCAATAAATCCATATGTGATATTTCTACCAAAATGTTGTAGCGGTGCATAATGTAAATCATATGTTGAAACACTAGTATTCACAATACTTAAAGTTCTTAAATCATCTTGTGATATTTGATTTTTTGAATTGTCCAATATATTGATACTTTCTGATGAAACTCTTGTTATTGACATTTTTGAAGCACTCAACTTTACTTGAATGTCAGTAGTTGACAACTTAGATATGTTAAAATACTTTGATGATACACGATACCCCTGAGTTTCCATACAACTTACTTTAGGATCTATTACTTCTTGTTTTTTCAAATCTTCGTCGTCATTTTTAAGATCCTTTAAATCTTCAATAACTTTATCCATTCTACTATTTACTTCGTTTAAGCATTTTTTCAATCCCTGAGCTGACAACTTTAGTTGGTCAAAAGAAAAAACATCTCCCGCACCCATTTTGTGAATAAATATACAAGTACTTTTGATTTTTCCAAAGAATTTTTAGAATTGTCTAAAAAATAAAAATACTTAATCCAAAATGTAGATTGTACATTGTGTAAATTTACCTTAATAGCGATAGGTACATTCATTGGATTACTGATAACATTTGTAGTTTGCCAAATTTGTAATAAAATTAGAGCAAATTTTGAACTATTGCATGTACTTCGTTAGTTAATTTAGTTTAATTCAATCATTTCGAACTTCTTATTTGAAATGTTATTATTTTTTTTTTTTTGAATAATTAATAAAAAACTTTGGCATACTGAGACTTGTTTAAGCTTTATAGAAGTCTATGCTTTATATTAGGTATAAGAGCAAATTTGTGGTACAATCTACTTACTCCACTTGTTTTATGGTTTATTTTTTAATCGTTTTATTAAACTAATACTTATATTAAGCATACCAACTAACCTGATTTTTGCACTATATAAAAAGTGATGTGTAAAGATTTCGTGAAAATTGCAACTTTCCATTAATTATTGAGTTTGCATAATATTTTAGTGTAAAGGTTCTTTCAATATTTATATGTACAGGGAAGAATTGACTCCACGTATTCAATTTTTTTTAAAAACCTTTCATGTTGTTTAAATTTACTTAATTAACTACGCATAATATTGTCTAGTTTTTATAAGCATGTAATAGTAACTAAAGTGTTATGTATTATATATATGACAATGTAACAGAACACCTTTTAATTAATTATACCTTTTAATTACAAATATAATATTCTTGTCCTTTATGTATGGTATGTTTTTGAATACTTGAAATACTTATATTTAGTTATGAACAGCATTTTCACAAAGTTTTGCATTATTTTAATAATATTACTTATGTCATTCCGAAATATTACATCGATTTCAATTCATCGTTCCACTTCTTTTCTCATATCAATTAAAATTGCAATTAAAATATACTCAAAACGGAAAGTTGTCTATTGCAAATAAAACAAAAATCAGTGCCACAAACTCCAGATGTTATTTAAATCGACAGGTGTCGAAAACTACTGGCCGGAAAGACGATTGAACACCGAATTACGGGGGAGAACAAACCATCTCCAAGTTACGACGGAGATAACAAAACGCAAATAGTCATAGATCGAGCATATACTTCGACGACCCGAAAATAATATACTCGTAGACAGGCAAGTACTGCGATGGAATTCAAAAGGTAGTCGGCAATTTACTTGGAATGATGTCACAAGAACAGTTCCAGGAGTATAGGAAATCAGTAGTAGCATACTTTATGCAAAATAATTAACCATCGCTTTTTTCAAGTAAACATCAATTTTTTTGATTCTTTCTGTATCAGTTCTAAATCAAGTGTGGGAACTTCAGATATTTAAAATTCCAAAAATTTCGATATTTTACGATTTCTATCTCGTGTTCATGTATCTCTATCACATTGCCTACTTCTTATTAACTTAAAATATTATTATTTAACAAAAAGGGGAGGCAAATTCTAGCAAACTTGCTAAGACTTAATAGAAAGTCTTATGGAAAGAGGTGGAGTTTAAAGAAACTTATTTTTGCGACCATATGCTTTTTGTACGGATTAAAAGTCTTAAATATATTACTCTATATTTGAAAACTGATAACAGTGTTGAAACTAGTAAATCCTTTGCTTTAGATGTGTATTACGTTTGAGTTTTAGTGTCTAGTAATAACTAATATTTACACAATAGAAATATATTGTAAGCATAAGTTAAAAGATACTTTGAAATATATTCTCATAGCAAACATATAGAAACAGGAGTTTAAACACTTAATGCATGACAACAGGGATGGATTTATATTTAAATCAATTTTGAAACACTCCAACATCAAACAAGATATCTTTTTGAGTACTAAAAATCGTTGGTACACACTATGCTTTAATTAAATAATTAATTTTAATTCTAAGTACAATATTTACTCTTACCTTTAAGGTTACACCACCCAGTTCGTATTCACGATTATAGAGATCTTCCACAGTTGCACGGTATTTGTCTGTGTATGTTTTGAATAGGAAACGTTTAACTATGGAACTCTTACCGACACCAGCACCACCAAGTAAGACCAGTCTTATACGTTCTAAATCAGCCATTTTATTTTACTAGTCTTCGCAATAACTTCTATGACAATACCAACTCCTCTAACTATGGCGAAAAGGGTGAATAGTTTTTGTTTAATTTTCTAAAACTTTAAATGTTCCGATGCTTTCTTTTGAGCAATTATTTATTTTCTCGTCTTAGTTGCGCTTAAATTTTCCTTTATGAATCAAAATTGGTTTGTAACTTCGTCGTACCACTTCCGCTGAAATGAATAGAGTTTGAATTTCCGTATCTAAATTGTTGTTTTTGTGTTCATAATTAATATAAATTGAAAGCATCAAATGTCGTTTTAATCTCAATCAAAGAAACTTTTCTTACTTCCTGTTAAGTACATAACAGAATCAAGTAGAAGTTATTTTGTGCTTTTAAGACAATTTGAAGGAGTTGTTGGGTTGAACGTTTATTTAATTAAGACATATATCCGTTTCCGGTTTTGTTATTCATGTTTAGTGTAGCACGTTTTACTTGAATTTGTATAAAAAGTATTTTTGTTGATTTTCAGTTTTCTTGTAGTGTGCAATTAATAAACTTTCTATTCTTTTTTTTTTTTGTCTTTAATCAATTTTATAATTTCTTCTTATTAATTTTTTTTATTAATATCATCAATTCTGTTGGTTATATCTGCAAAAAAATGATTACTTATTAGTGAAATGAAAACATACATTGCTAAAAATTTAATTAAAATTTAAAAATAAAATTATTTTTTTTAATTTATATTGAATATAAGTATTATTTAAAAATAATAAATTATATTACATTAAATATATTTTTGTTTAAGATCTAAATAGAAAAGTAATTTAAATTAAATTGATTTAAATTTAAAATTTAAGTTTTTAAAATAAATTGGATAATTTTGATTTTCCAGAATTTATTTACTTATTTAAAACAAATATTTCGGACCACTTTTTAGTTTATCTTTGTTGGTGGAATTTTTAATTTAACGTGACTTATACATATTTTTATATATAAATATTTTATTTATATATTATATCGTTATAAATGCATATTAATAAAAAGGAATAAATATTATACGCCACCATGGACTGTGATGAGCAAAAATTTGTAAAGCCTTCACTTTACCCTTCATTTAGCCTTCACTATTACTAATAATAATAGAATAATTTATAAAAATTTATTGTATTATAATTTCGCTCAAATAATATAATATATAATAAGCCATATATGTATTACATTTTATGAAAATGTATAACACTTTTATTTTGTTGAATTATTTTACCTCACTGTTTTTCTGTGTAACTTAGCCATACAAAAGATGAAGATATAATAAACTTAATAAACTCTTGATCGGAATTTTTTTATTATTGTCATTTTAGGAATCTAAAGAATTTTCTTTAAACAAAAAATATTATATCTAAATATTTATCATACACATGCTTTAACAGCATTTACAGTGAAGTTGGCTAAGCATACGAGGATGTTGCTTTCACAATATCTTGCAAAAGAAGAAAATTCTAATGAAATTGCTGTCTAAAATATTGCAAAAATGTTGTTAATAATCTTATCTATGCATCTGAGATAGATAAAGTGCAGGCAGATAGACAATTAGTTATGTGTACATGCACTTGAGAAGTACTTATATGCAATAATTGAATATCATGCAATCATTTTTCTATTTTCAAAAAAGCCAACAGGAATAATTCTTGAGAGAGGACAAGAAAATTTATAACACTAGTGACCAGTTACACACCAGCTTACAGTAAAACTATACTAGCAATAGTACGTTATATTGAAATAAAAAAATGAGTAGTGCACGACAAGGTAGGATGCATTACTCCTTAGTAGATGTCAAATAAATTTGTTACTACTATGTTGCCATAGTGAGATAGTACGCTCATAGCAAGAACTATGAATTATTCGTAATTTGCTACCAAAGAAACAGAAAATACATTGAATAAAGTAAAGTGAACTGCAATTCCTTTACTACAACACTTCAAACTGGCATATATATTCATATTATATTACGTAGAAATAAAATCTAAAATCAAAGCAATTTATTAAACTTCAATGTTATACCAGTTAGAAATACGTAGCAGTTGATTTAACTGTAATAATTTCAATAACTGATATATGAAATAGGAAATAATAACTGTTAAACTTAGCAGTTTTTAATAAGAGTACATACTGGTACTGGAATTTTTGTACTTTTTCAACTCCAAGAAATATTCTTAACCAACTCGTACATATACACATATAAGACTCTTGTAGAAAGTTAATTTGTTATCTATCATTTGTTCAATGAATTGAAATATAACCATTTTCTGTAGAAAAATGAATGAAATTGTTTTTCTTTAGAGCATCCATCAGTCACCAGTTTTATTGGTTTTGCAAACGGACCTATGAATAAATGAAAGCCATCGTCAAACCAATATTAATTGCTATACACTCAGTTAACCATTGCATTGCAATTTGTAATATGTGAATGCAATAAACCATTTATAGTTCTAATTTGATTTGTTGTTGTTTGTATTTGAAAGTTATTTATTCAACAGAGAAAACATAATTAGCAATAATAAATTTTGTGAAGAAATGCGCAACAAAGTCCTGCAATTGCATTTAATAGCAAAATTGATAAAGCGTCCTGCATGTAATGTACATATTTTACAGATACCTAAATTTCTCTCATATATCCGAATACTATAACAGCATATAAACTCACATTTGACATTGCTATGAAATTGGTATATTAAGTTAGCTAACTGGCTATGCAGAGTTTTCAAAAGTAGCAAATATGAAATCATTTTTCGGATTCATAGTTTTTGTTTTGAATTGAACAAATTTTGAAATTTTCATTTGAATCTCTTGATTGAGTATCATATCATAACTAAACAATAAATATTCTATAAATACAGAAAATACATATGTTCAATAATTTATTTCTGCTTTAGACGTTTCTAAAGCATATTAAAATAGTTATTATACTAAACTTGATATTTAACTAAATATTAATACATTTAAATTTGGTTTTAACGTCAATTATTACGGTAGTGACTATTTTACTTAATTGAAACGTTTGCATTTATTTGATAGGTTTCAAATAGTAGTGAATTGCAACAACAAAAATTTTTATTCATTTTTAATTAATTGAATTTTTGGTTGAGCCTACAGCTGTGTTACCAAATACCCATCATCAGTTGTCTTGGTATTATTTCTTTTATTTAATTATTCGAAATAAATTTTTTTAATCAAAAATTATTATAAAAGTGTTTTAAATAATAGTATTGAAATTTACCAATGATTTATGGTTTCGTTCTTATATAACACAGCAAGTGGATTTTTTAATAAAATTTTAAAACAAATTAACAAATCTCCAAGTTCGAACATATGTTACAAGTTATGTTCCACAATTGCATACAACTTCAGATCATTTAATTTTAATAAAATTGCTTCTCATGTTTTTATAAAGAAAAATTCTCCAAATGTTCCTGTTCCTTTCCTGGCTACACCTATGCTTTTGAGCATAAAGTATTCTTGAAAATATTAAAATCCTAATAGCTGTATTGAGGACTGACTAAATTATTACTAAAGCAAGTAATTCAGAATAGATTTCTTCAAAATTTTACGTTTATGGATTAAAAAGTATTTGTATTTGTTTTTTTATTTAAATATATTTTATTTATTTAAATTTTCATGAAATAAATTTATAAATTTTGAAAATTCACATAACATAGAAAAGGACAATGTATCTAACCCAGATGTCAGTCAAATGTCACAAAAAGTTAAACTCAATCTAAAATTTTAAATAGAATAAATTGTTGCAAATTTTGCAGAATAAAATAAAAGTAATTTTTTTTAATGTTGAGGTGAATATTGGCTTTTAGTACAAATAAATTAATATACAAAAATGGTATTAAACTTTAGGTAACTACATATTCAATAAATATTTTTAAATTTTACTCACTTTTTCATACAATAAAATTTTATTTGATTGCAAAATAAAGCTTAAGTAAACTATTAAAAGTACTTTGTATATAATTAATAAATTAATAATAATATTTATTATTACTTAAGTGTTTTATATTCAACATATATTCAATAAATATATATTCAATTTAATTTATTCAGAAATTACAATACAATTCATTTAACTCCAATTGTACCTTCAGAAATAAAACACAACTTAAAAATATAGTATTTAATTTAAATATAAAAATATTACTATTTGACACCGAATTTATATATGCATAATTTTAAAACATGAAACAATTTTATTTTGTAAGTAACATCAAACAATTTAAATTTCAGTAGGGCTAGATTAGTAATGAAGCAACAACAACAAAAAATTCAATTTCAATTAGAACTTTGAAAAAATATGAATAAAGAGATTTCAATGATAAGTAACACAATCTAGCCGAGCGCACATATCTTTGAACCTTTAGGATAATATCACTATTATTAGCTATTCATATTAGCAGCACACTATGTTGCTTACGTTCACTGGATCTGCATTTTAATGTATACCTAATATTTACTATCTTTATTGTCAAATTTCATAGTTTTATTATTGTTCAAGTACACATGTTATAAATAAGTTACTAACGAAGGTCTAGCGAACTGTTAAGTTAGTTTAACTAGCTGCAGCTTCCTCTTTTTTCCAAGTAACACACAGACACTATTTTATTATCATGAAACTGCAGGTTATAAAAAATATAAGTCACAATATTACACGTTGATTTGCTGAGATTTGTTGTACTAATTTTAGAAAGACTTTTCTATACTGAAACCTATTAACAAGTCTGAAAATGACTCTTGGTCCAAAAACGTGCACTACATTCCGTTCTATGAAAGCCCTATCGTGATACTGAATTCGTTTCCTGAGAACCGCAACACACGATCAGATAAGCAAAAGTTTTATTCTGAATTTTAGAAAGGTGGAGATATCTTTTAGCCGATATTCTCTAGTCCCATCTTTGAAAAGTTACAGGAGCATATTCAGTTAGCTGTTAAAAAAAGTTATAAAAAAAAAACTATTTCCATCTTTTTTAACCAACTCGTTTGATGCCATACCTGTTATCTTCGACATTGTCTGCGCTTTGATTACTTTGATTTGATTACCTTGATCAGCGTATAAGCAACGTTTTATCCATGATAGCTAAATAGTCAACTTATGGGCCTATTCAATTGAGCTTTGATATACAAGACCGCCACCCCAATTTAAAATAATCTAATCTGTGCAGTTAGAAATGATTGCAATTGTCGTTTTAAGGAATGGATGTCACAGTAAAATTTCAATGTGTCAACATTTTCATTTACTCCAAATATTAGTTTTTTCTATTGTAAAAGGAAAAGAGCAATTTAAGCCATCTACACAATTTGTGTAATGTAATTGCTGTACTGTTTTTAAATATCCCTTAAATTTTGTGCAATTTTCATTATTAGGTATAATCCAAAAATTGTGCTTTTCCATGGACAAAAGTAAAACATCCTTAAATAGAAAACTCAAGCAAGTGGACAGATGCTTGATTCTAAGCAGGCCTTCAATTCTTACACGTGTTAAAATCCGTTTGATGTGCCTAGAAAAATACTCGTACACTGCAATATTGTTGGCATTTATGTGTGTTTATCTACGGTCACCTAAAATAACAAAAAACTAAAATCAACAAATATCTTTTTGTGCTTTTATGTTGTTTTTCCATTACAATTTATGCGTATATTCTTTAAGTGCAACACACAAAAGATACTTCTTTTTTGCTCTTTTTATTAAATTTTCCATGGTACATATGCTTGCTATTTATTCTAGGATATATGTAACGCAATATAGTCACGTAACATTGACATTATATAAAAAAGTAAAAATATATAAATTCAAAAATTAATTTTTCTCTAACTTCATTCGACTAAGTTTACTTAAGAACTTTGATCCTTATTGTTGCCTTATCAAGTTATTGTAAAAAAGATTATTTAAAAATTTTAATGCGAGTGATATGCGAAAGTATAATATGTGTATAAATATATATAATATACAGATATAGATACTAATACATAAAGAGCAAAATATTATTTTTTATTTTTGCCTTTATTCACAATAATATAAATATATTATGATAAATTTAAAATTCCGTTAGGAGTGAAGTATCAAATTTTGACATGAAAGGCACGGCAACAAGACTTCAGCGCAATCAAAATAAAAACAGGCACCAAACCGTAAAAAATAATCCTTTCAATTTTTTTAGTTCCAGTACCACCAAGTTTTCTTAGAGATAAACTATTATTATAGTTGGTAATTGCTTTTTGACACATCTTCATTTCATCAGCAGCTAAGACACAAGTAGGACATATATTCGTAAGATGTTGTTTGAGACTGGCTTGAATACAAGTGATTCGTTGTTCATTAGAAATTGCATTGTTTTTTAATAAGTATTCTTTAAGCAAATCAATAGCAGTTGAAACATATGCACGATCAATGATTCGGCCAAACATATGGAACTGTAAATAATTGTTTATATCTTCCATATTTAGAGAATTATTAACAACTTCTACGCAAGCAATATTAGCGCCCGTTTCATTATCAGTTTTGAAGCCATTATGAATGTTACCAATACTGGCTACAGATTTAACTCGTTTTTTAACACTGTATGAAGAAGTTGTTGTCTCTTCATGCTGATCATCCAAAATTCCTAGAGCTACGGAAACGTTACTATTAGATTTTTGTGAAAAACTTTTCGCAACACTGGTTGAAGAAGTTGTTATCTCTATAAACTGATCATCCAAAGTATTTGGAGCTACGAAAAACTCATTGTTATGTGTTTTAAGAATATTATAAGTTTTTGTACGACTGAGCAAACCGGTTGGCTTTTCTTTAAGCTGATCATCCAAAATATTTGAAGCTACAGATGGCTCACGGTTACACGTTTGTGAAATATTATAAAATTTTGTTGGTCTGATCATACCGGTTGATTTTGTGTTGTGTTGATCATTCAAAATCTTTGGAGATGCGAAAAGTTTCATGTTACATTTTTGTGAAATATTATAAGCTTTAGTTAGACCTACCAAAGAATTTGCTTTACTTTGAATATCCAAAACCTTTGCTTTCTCAATATCCCTTAGCTCTTCAGTTTTTTCTTTCAACAGCTTGTGAGTTTCTGCGAGTTCTAATTTCAACTCTTCATTATTCTTATTAAGTTCAGCTACTTCCACTTCCAGAACTTTAATTTTTTCCTTTGCTATCTCAAGATGTGTTCGAGTTGTTTGAAGCTCTTTAAAAAGATTCCTGCCATCAGTGTTTCGGCGTCTAAATGTTTTTGGAGGCATTGTACAGTACAAAATATATTGCTTTGATGAAAACTTTTAATAATAAAAATCGTCTAAGTTTTAAGATAACAGATTTTCTTAAACACAAATTTTTTTTTTAATAATTGTAAAATGTATTTAGTTTTTTGATGTTTAGATTAATTTCAATGATATAACGATTAAGTAAAAAATTTAAAATTATTGAATTTATATGAATACACATTGTTGTAACTATTTATAATGTTCAGATAAAACCTATAGGTAGAGACCATGTTTCGATTTTTATTGTAGTATAAAGTAAAATAATTTAAATAAATTAAAGTATGTAAATAATGATACCTGTACATACAGGAAATATGAAAATATATAGAGAAAATCTGAGAAAAAAATAAATGAGTTGTAGGTGGACAATAATTGGGTATATGTAAATGGAATTAACAATATACCCGCATAAACACTGAAGACAGAAAACAAAATATCATCTCCCTAAAATAATAAATAAAGTTCTGTTTAATATTTATTATACAACTAACTAAAATCTTTGCATTAAAATGTATCTGTTATGGCTTTTAAAGACTGTATGACCATTTCTATATTTAGAAAAATACGCTCAAACCACATACAAGTTAAATTGACCTCATCATTTTGTTAGAAAAGTTTTAACTCATGTGCTAAAAAGGATTTGAAAACCAACATGTGACCAAATTATTTTTCTGACTGTAGACCATTGATCAGATTTAGATTGGATTTTAAAACGGGTTGGGAACTTGCCACCACATCACTGCATCCTTTGAGGGTAATTATGACATACCCACTTTAGTTTCATAGACGGGTAGGAGTTAAGAACGCCATTATGTCCTTTGGAGAGATGTTGCCTATTCTGTTATAACTGGATAAGTACCGAAGTCTGAGTCGGGCGAGACTATCACAGTGACACAAAATGTGTTCTGCTTCTTCTCTTCTTCGCAACAAAATTCATCACATCATAATGAAATACACTTCAGATGCTCTCTCAAGAAGAGCAGCGTCCCATATGCCCTCCTTCTTTACGTCCACAATATTTTCGTTGTGTATTGTCTAAATTCGATTTAATTATAAGTTTTTCGTTTCTATAGCAAAATTAACTGTTGCTAAATATATTATACATTTATAATTATCTTTAATTATTTTTCCGTAGAAGAATTCTCAAGAAAATAATACACTACGACGTATTATTTTTGATTTATTTAATTTCTATGTCTCGTGAGCTACCTTTATAGCATGTGTATAAAATATATAAAAACTAAAGTAAAATTTTATGTTTCGAATATTTGAAATATTCAGAAAATAAATACGTAAAACATCTTTTCTAATTCATGACAAAATATATATAAAATTCATAAGAGCAATTTTTATATTTTGTGGCCGTAATAAATTGAGAAAATTGAAATTCCTTAAACAAATAATTTATTTAAAATGTTTTCATGAAGTAAAAAAAATATTAAAGACTTTAATTTCAATACCTGCTGTGCAATTTAATTGCAAAATACATAATTACTTTGAAAATTGAGTTATGTACAGGACAGTTTCAATTAATGATGTTGTTTAATATCTCCTTCACAAAATAACTATTTTTCGACAATTCATGTCATGATTCGAAATTATGTGCTCACTGGTACTTGATTCTGTGTGAAAGAAGAATATTCTATTAAATTTATATACATATATATTTATGCATATTTATACACTATAAAGTTGACAGTATTATAATTATAAATATGTACAGTATGTTTAAATATGCTGGGTGAAAGATATTTTGCCTATATATATATATTATATATTAAATAAGATAAATATATATATTTTAAGATTTTATTATTAAAAACGTAACAGAATCAAACTGATATTGTATATCATATAGTTATTTGCTTAATATTAGAATTTAGTTTTAAAGCTGTTCAAGGTACCCAATATATCTGCCCTACCATACTCTCAATATTCAAAGCATGTCTGACTTCATTCAATTTTATAGGCTTGTAAGTAAAGTAATTTTATTGTTTAAACATTAGTGAAATAAGACATAATAAAGTATTTATATAAGAAAAAAAATAAAGATACAGCAGTAAAGTCCGAACTGATACCTGTACCCGAAATAAAGTTCCATTATTTTTAATCAAAATCTTTGACTTAAAAAAAATAACAAGAAAATTTGGAAACTAAGTGAAAATCAATTTGTAGGTCGACACATTGATCAACAAAATCAAAATGGGGGCGAAAATACCAATAAGAGAAGGACATTTTCAAGTGTAAACCTATTTGCAGAAATATTAGGATTTGTGGTACATTAACAATTTGTAAATAGTTGGCAACTCTGGCGAGTTTTGACAGTTAAGAAAATGCAAGCAAGCGTACCAGTAGTATCGGTACAATTTTCGAAGTTAACTTATAAGCAGCAATTGCTTCGTTATATTCTTAAGATACATTATAGCTATAATTTGCCAGTAAAATACATCATTAATAAATAAAGTAACACGCTACAGATTTAATTCAGGTATCCCAAAAAGTATCCATAACATTTTAGTTACGATCTTAATATGTTATTTTAAATAATACTTTTAAATATTCCAGCAATTTTGCCAAATGACTGTTTACTCGTGTATGTCTAAATATATTTAGTATTCCATGTCAACCATATGAAGCCCTATGCTTCACTGGGAGAAGAGAATAATACAAAAAGAAGAATCCAATGTCAGCAATTGTACATAAAATTTTAGTTTAATTTCCTCCAAATGATAGCTTTGTCAGTACTACTAATAGGTTGCTTTAGACACGGCATAAGCACGTAATAAATATTATAAACGCAATACGTGGTGATATGCCCGACAGAACAGAGAACAGTGGATATCTCGAATCCTCCCTCTTATATCTATCTAACCTCTCTTACAATGCAGATCAAAGCAAAAATAAACCTAATGTTTATTTGAACAAAATTATACTAATATTTTCCACAAAATGATAGCGATGCCATTTCTGATGTTAAATTTAGAACTTCATATACATCTTAGCACTTAGTTCTACATATAGAACTAGATATAACTAGAATTATAAAATTTCAAGTACAGAAAATAGTTAAGTAAGAACCCTTTTCAGTGAATACTTCTTTACTAACAAAAAATTATACAGAAAAAAAAAGAATACAGAAAAATATTGCTGATAATTTTTAGATATGTTTAAGCATAAAGTAAAATAAATACAAATTCAAAAAAAAAAAAAATCTGAAATAAATTTAATTAGCAAATATTTAACCTTATATACATTTAAACCCTACTAAAAGGTATAAGTTACAATTATGTAAATACATTTTTCGATTTTATGTCAAAAAATTGGCAATCTGGTTTATTGTGTGCTAATTTATCTCACTTAAGGTACAATATTTCATAGCCTCTGTTTATATTATGAAATATTATTTAAAAACTTTTAAAGAGAGAGAGAGAGTGGGTGCTATCCCATTTTCTCTCTAGGCATAAAAATATATTCTAGAACATGCTTACATATTGTTTATATATTTTTAGTGATTAAAATTACACATCCTTTTCAAACATTTACATTTTTTTTGTTAGAAACACTGTTTTATTAGTTAGAAAGGTTCCTATAAACTTGTACGAAAATTAATTTGCTCAGTGCAGTAGGATTTAAATTTAAAAGCTACGGTTTTGTTTGCTCTGTTACATAGTGTTTGATAAGGATAAGAAAGAGTTCGCGTACATATAACCAGCTTACTTATCAATTTTTTTAAAATCATACCTAACTCATTTTAATTTTCTGGCTACTTGAAAGATTTCATTATATTCATTATTAAATATTCTTTTAACAAAATTTTTTATGTATGTTATTTAAGAAATACTTTAAAACAATCGCTAATTGCTAACATGTAAGGTTGTCTTGTCAAGTCAGTTGAACCATGATTCATTTTAGATAAACAAAAATGATTCTTTTATTCCTTCAGACCATTTGTATTTTATGCCATTATATAAATTCAATTATAAATTTATCATCCATCATTAAATCATCAGTTTAATGATTTTCTATTAACAATAAGCACAAGTGACCCAAATTTGTTGGAAAAGTCATTCAATCGAAAACCATAAATCGCATACATACAACGTCAGTTTCACAAGGGTTATTCGCACTTTATTAGCGCAAAGGCTCAGATGTGCGTCTGACAATTGCGATTACTGAGGAGATTCCATAATTCGTGTACAATGTTGCGATTACCTGTGCTACGATTTTTCGTTTGAAATTGTTTGTAGCTTATATTTTCTAAATAAAAAGTAAGAACTTTTCAAAAACAGGAGCTAAAAAGTTTATAACTCTAAAACAGATGCTGTGAAGTGACGCGACACAATTTGTAATTCCATCATTTGACGATGGAGAGCACTCCATTCACATTAGTCGTGGAGTGGTGATGATGGTAATCGCGTGTGCATATCCTTAAATATAGAAAATTTGTTCAAATTTGTTATTCGCAATGGTCGTAAAATAATTTGTTTATTATTTTGTACATCATTAAAAGTTCAGATGTGCCATAATAAAATGTGTAATGAGATTTTTATTACTGCTTAGTTTCGTTTTATGATTTTGTAGTAAATGGTTTTTATCCCAAAATTCTATTCATTCGAAGTTTAATGTTGGAAACGTAATGTTAATATGTTTCCTCACAGAGGAATGACTTTTTATACGTACTTCATTTGATTTGCTAATTTCAATTCTTTAACACATTTTTCAACTAATTTGCTTCGATTTTTAATATAATAATTATGCCAATACTGAAAAAATTATATATAATATATTTTTCAAATATTTAAATAGTTATTATAATTTAAAAATAGTACAAACAAATTTTTATGAAAATAGAGTTTTTGTATATGCATCAATTCATATATACTATTAACTTCATCAAAAAATAATAAGTATTCACACACTATTTCTTCTTTGATAGTCTATCAGACTGTTAATCGGTGAAGATGAAACCTCTATTAAATTATCTAAATTCGGTGGGATGGGATACTCTTCTATACTAGGGTTCTTGCAAGGAATGTGGTAGCAAAACGGTGAAAAATCACTAA